CTGTCCCTCATCCTGCCCACCGGCTAGATAGAGAAGCGGCTGTGGGCGGGCCTGTCTCCCAGCCGGCAAGTGCTGGAGCTCGGTTCTGAACCCACAGGAGTGGGATGCCAGGGCCCTGCTCTGCCATAGCACGTGCTCCCACGGGAGCCACTCAAAGATGGGCTCTGCTGGAGGCAGGTTCCCTCTGACAGGTCAGCCCCCACCTGGCAGCAGTGAAACTCGTCTGGCATCGGAAGGAAGAGCTTCTGTGGGGGTTGGCTGCTTGGGTGCGCTTTGTTCTGCTGTATGTGTGCAGGACAAAGGCAGTCGTACCCCCTTTTTTGTGAGGTCTGAACAATGACAACACAATTCTAGTCTCAGTCGAGGTAACTTGCTACAAGGTGTAATTCCTAAACTCAAAGAGGGTACAGGTCAATTACTCAGAAAATTCACCTGTATAACTTACCTTCCAAATCCGGATGCTTCCAAGAGAGAAAGGAGAGCTGTCAACAATTAGCGGGGCTGCTAAGTGTAAACCAGGGCTGCCCGAGCACACCAGCTGTGCCGTCAGCCTGGAGGACACCTTCCCGCCACACCAGACGTGCCTCCTCGCTCTGCTGTCAGCCCCAGATGTCAGGACTAGTTCTCAGTCACCATGTCCCCCGGAGCCTAAGAGCCTCATCCACCTTCCCGTGATCTGCAAGGGGAGGTACACCCGCTAAAGTAGCACTGGCCACTGTAACGAGTGAGCCCGCAACTCAGGCTAGCCCGAAAGGAGTCTGTTCCTGGCTTATCCAATCAACTGATGGAGACGGCTAATGGGGGCCTCCCCAGGCAGCCAGGCCCCTCTCTCTGTGTCTCCATCCCCTTCCAGCCGAGTCCTGTGAATTCAGCCGGAAAGATGGGCACAGGGGTCCCGGCAGTTTCTTGGGCCTGTTGTGCGGGTGAGACCGTCCCTCTTCCCCAGAGTCCGGGGAGCTGCCGATGCCTCCTGTCTCAGAGCTGTTTCCTGGGACCCAGAGAGCAAGTCCTCAGCGTCACAGAAGCCAGCCTGTGGTTTTGGGAACTGGTCCATTGCGACAGAATTCACACTACACAGACCGCCTATGTAAAGCACACCCAGTCGCTTGGGGTATAGTACACTTTCCTAAAAGTTTTACAACTTGACTACCAAGCACCTTCTATGGAGCCCACATGTCCCAGGGGACAAAGGCACAGGATGAATGTGGGGAGAGGTGTGCGGAGAAGGGGTGGGTCTGGCACAAGAGCTGCGGGGTCGCTGGCACCAGGCGAGCGGGACTGCAGGGGGCAGCGGGGACGGGACGCTGGTGAGCATGTGAGCGCGCTGCGGATTCCGTGTGAAAATGAGCGCGAACATGAGTGGGTGTGTGGGAGTGGGCGAGTGGGTGGTGAGAGTGTGAGTGAAGGTGGGGGAGGTGGATGTTCTGTGCATTCTGTGTGAACGTGCGACTGAATGAGTGTGAGCATCAGCGTGGATGTGGGACCAGCCCGGGGCCACTGGCCACGGTCGCCGGATCCCACGTGGCTGGCTGCAGAGTTCACGTTCCAGACCCAGTGGCTTGAGAAGCGCCCCGGGTATGTCACTGTGAGCTTGTGAGTGTGTATGGTATGAGCTGTGAGTGTGGTGTGAATGTGAGTGGGACTGAATGAGTAGGTGTGCGTGTGAGGAGCACTGTGTGCATGAGCTGTGTGTGAGCAAGAGTGTGTGGTGTAAGTGTGCGGGGGCTGTGTTAGTGTGAGTGTGCATTAGAGACCCCAGAGGCCGAGATCACGGAGGAGTGGGTCGTGCCCTGCCTCAGTCGTGGCAGGATTCCCACACTGGCTGCTGTCCCACGGGCCAGGGCGCAGCACCAAGGACCTCTCCAAAGAGCAGGGACACATGGCGGGGAGGGCAGCAAACTCAGGTTACTAACATGACACCCGAAGACCTGCCAGGACTGTGTCCTGACTCATGCAAGCACCGCAGGGCATTCCAGCCTCACCATGTCCTCTGGGCCACCTGTGACACCCCCTGCTGGTCGTGGCCTGGTAGAGCCCCGCCCCACGTGGAGAACCATTGGTGAGGTGTCTCCGTGGTCCTGGGAGATCTGGGCTCCCAGGTTTGGGAGGGTACCCTGCCAGGCAGGCCAGGAGGTATGTCCTTTGACGGTGTTTCAGAAGCCGGGCTCAGGAGAAAAGGACCAGGCACAAGTACTGTGGGAGGCAGAGGCCGCTGCCCACAGGAGGAGGTCCCTCCCTGACTGCCCGGCAGCATGGTCACCTCCTTCCGTCTGTTTCTCATCTCATCTTCCCAATGGTGCTGCCGTCTCACTGTGCCAGGAAGACCTTACCTGGACACCCAAGTAGGGGTAGGGGGAAGTATTCAAAACCTAAAATGAGCAAAATGTGTTGGGGTTACTGTGTCAGCTGGGGTCGTCGCTCAGTATACAGCCTTCCAAACAGACTGCCCAGGGAGGCCAGCCACCATGGAAACTGGTACCATCTTTGGGGGAGGGCCCAGGCGGAAGTCGACTTACAGGTGTCAGGGAGGGGTCCACAGGGGCCAGGAACCACAGTGGGCCTCCCCGAAGTTGGAGCCACCACCAGAGACTCCCCAGCAGAGAGGGGCAGAGAAAGACCCTGATTCTCTCTCTTTCGTCCTGCATCTTGCCAGTGCCCGCCAGTGGCTGGACCCACCTGGCAATCAGTTCACGTGCGACCTGGGACAAACGCAGCCAGCTGCAGGCAGTGCCCCTAGCACCCCGCCCACCTGGGCGGAAAACGTGTGGCAGCCTCAGGAAGGGTGGGGGCACATCTATTTCGACTGGGGAGTCTGGGGTGGCCACAGGGACACGCAGGAGCTGATGGGGAGGGACGGTCTGGGTGTGCAGTTCCCGGCCGTGGTTACAGCAGGCGTGGCCGTGGTGTGCCTCGGGGGAGCAACCTTCTTAGACAGCAGTCAGGGTATTTCACAGCGGTTGAGTCACTTCGCACGCCCCGCAGTGGTATGAGGGTCCCAGTTGCTCCTCATTCTCTCCATTTACTCTTCCTTTTTAAATTTTGCCAGAGGGCACATGCGCTGGCCAGAGAGAAGAGAAAGCACCCGCCTTTGGGAAGGGGGATGACCAGCGGCAATCCCTTCTCCATCTCTGCTTCCCTGCAGAATTTTGGGCACACACATAACGTGCTCAGTGTTTCAAGGTGCTGGGTGTGGGACTTAAGCTGAGGTTGGCCATGTGGTGTCTGGCTGCCTTCACCACCAGGCCAGAGAGCCTCCAACCTCTGCTCTTTCATTTCAGCTCTTCTGAGCTCTTGAGGAAGATAGTGGACAGCTCGCACGATCACATCCTGAGGAAATTCCACTCTGAAGCCTTCTGTGATGGAACCTGGAAGAGAACAGGATGGAGCAGTGGCCCCAGGCTCCTCCTGCCTTCCAGCTGTTCTCAAACTCTGCAGGCCTGTCGGGCAGCTCCTTGCTAATCTAAGAATTTAGCTTATCGGGATCAGCAGATGATGTGATGGCTGTGTTGCTGGACTCCTATAGTCGACCGTGGTTTGGTGGCTTAAACTGACGCTGGGCACGTGTGTGTGCATGCTTAAGATCCTAAGAGGACAATGGAGAAGGGATTGTGGGTGGCCATCCTGTGGGGTATGTGTGTATGATTTCCTGCTCTGCTACAGAGACCAACTCAGATAAAGCTGGCACCGTGGTCAGCTCAGTGATGGCCCCAAATGGCGGTTTTGTTATTATAGTAGCACTCAGGAGGCCCTGAGGTCTCTCTTTCACGCAGACAAAAGAATCCAGGCCTGGGTGAGTTCATAGAAGTGTTCAAAGCACTCTCACTAATTAGGGCAGAAGAAATAAATCCTGATCTCCACATTTCAGGGCACAGCGTGGTCTCTAGCGAGGGACACAGTAATCTCAAGCAAAAGCTCTTGATGCAAGATTCTTATAGACAGGGTAGTCTTAGTCCCAGGCTATGATGGTCTGTCTTGTGCCTGTCTGTTTTCTGAAGAAACACCAGCACCCAAGTAATAAATACAAGGCGAATTTGTTGTGCATGCTTAAGATCCTAAGAGGACAATGGAGAAGGGATTGTGGGTGGCCATCCTGTGGGGTATGTGTGTATGATTTCCTGCTCTGCTACAGAGACCAACTCAGATAAAGCTGGCACCGTGGTCAGCTCAGTGATGGCCCCAAATGGCGGTTTTGTTATTATAGTAGCACTCAGGAGGCCCTGAGGTCTCTCTTTCACGCAGACAAAAGAATCCAGGCCTGGGTGAGTTCATAGAAGTGTTCAAAGCACTCTCACTAATTAGGGCAGAAGAAATAAATCCTGATCTCCACATTTCAGGGCACAGCGTGGTCTCTAGCGAGGGACACAGTAATCTCAAGCAAAAGCTCTTGATGCAAGATTCTTATAGACAGGGTAGTCTTAGTCCCAGGCTATGATGGTCTGTCTTGTGCCTGTCTGTTTTCTGAAGAAACACCAGCACCCAAGTAATAAATACAAGGCGAATTTGTTCCCATGACCCCTGTGCGCTCTCCCTAGCCGCAGTCCCTGCTCCAAGATCTGAGGGTAGGGCGCAGAGTCACTGGAGCTTGTTCACCTGTGCTCTCACCCTTCTCATCACCCCTACTCACCTGTCTAGAAAGGCACAGCAGATAGGATTGTGTGTGGAAAGTTCTGCCTTTCTTTATGGGGAGTAGGGGGCAGGCTTTCCCCACCTGTGATTCTCCAAGAGTTCCTGAAACCAGGAACCACAGTCTCCACTAGCCTCGAAGAACAGGATGGAAGCCAATATTGCTTCAGGTCAAGATTCTTTCTTTTTTCCATATCTGCCAGCCAGAGAGCAAGTGAGCACAAGAGCCACACAGGGAGAGAAGGAAAAGTGAGAAAGCAGCATTCACAAGGGATGAAATGCAGCAATCCCTTCTCCATCTGTCCTCAGGATTTGGGGCATGCCTCAGCATGTGCCCAGCGTGTTCCACAAGCTGTCCTGTTGGGTCCAGGACTCCAACCTCTCAGTCCCCTACTGTGGGATCCAGCTGCCTTAACCATCAGAACAAGGGCTCCTCAAGGTCAAAAAGATTCTTAAAAGATTTGCAAAAGCAATGTGTCTGCAAATATTCAGCCAAGACCTTTATGGGTAGTTGTCCTGGAATGATGCTTTGGAGGCGGCAGGTGGAGTCAGGGGATTGCGCTGGGCTCCCAGAGACCTCAGAGGTCAAATGCCGACACCCTCTGATCCCTTGGTCCCCTGGCATCCCGGCTTCTAGGCGCGGCCTGCACTGCAGGCGTTGTGTCTTGGTTATCTAGAGCACTAGGGCCCCGGAGGGGTCAGTGTGAGCGCCCCGCGCCTCTGCACCTGCTTCGCTGCGACACGACGGTCAGGTGACAATAGGAGCCCGTCGGTCTCTAAGCCGGTGAGCTGGGTCCGCTAGCCTGCTACGGACCACGCACGGGAGACCTCGTCCCGGCGCCCAGGGGCGGGACAGGGAGCTGACCCGGAAGCGGTGGAGCCTCACGTGCTCTGCGGGAATTTACAAGCCACGGCCCCGGAGGCGGAGCGTCTTGGGCTCTGCGCGCTTGCGTCATCGCGTAGGCTTGAGAGGCCCCGGGCTGGAGTGCTGACGCATGCGGCGCGTAAAGAGGCGGTGGGCGTGTCTGGGGAAGTGGACGGCAGGTAGTCCCGCCTCTTAAAGCTGCCCGGTCCTTTAGGTGTGGGCACCTCGCAGTCTCGGAGCGCGGCGCCTTTAAGCGTCGCTGTGACACGTGTGTGCGGCGCCGGAGGCCCGGATGGTGCGCGTGAGGGGACTCGGGCTGGAGGAGACGCCAGCGCAGCGCGGGCCTGCTGCGGGTCGCCGAGAGGCCCGGGTAGGCTGGGGCCGGACCGGGTCAGGCGGCGAGCAAGCTCGGGGCGAAGGCAGCGCGTCCGGCGCGGGTGGGGGCTTGCGCTGGGCCTGGGGCGCGAGAGGTGCGGCCGGGAGCACCCACCGGCGCCCC